GCAGGGCCACCTCTTCAGCCCATATATATGTCTTTTATTTATTTATTTATTTATTTATTTATTTATTTATTTATTTATTTATTTATTTGAGGTAGGGTCTCAAGTAGTCCAGGTTGACCTCTAACTCAGCACGTAGTTGAGGTTGTCCTTGAACTACCGATCCTGCTGCTTCTACCTCTCCTGTGCTGTGATTATGGACGTGTACCATAACACCTGACTTTCTTTTCTATTTTTAATGGAGCGATAAGTCAGGTAGAAGTCTGGAGGTGGCTAGGTTTCTGGGAAGCTGCACAATTCAGGTTGTGCTTGAGTCCTAATTAATTTTATTGTTGTTTGACAGTTGTGACAACAAAGGGTTTGTTATCATCTGCAGATGAAATAAACGCACCGTCCCTCACCTGAAAGGCTTTACATAACTTTTCCAGGCTGTATCATAGCACCAGCCTGCTTATTGTATACACCCATCTGAGTGCTAATTAATATAAAAACATTTATGTAAACCAAACCAAGAACAAAGGAACACAATTAGTCCTATTGGAACAGTGAAACACTCAGGACCCCTGTGAAACATTGTCGTGAAGTCTCCTGGGAACCTGCCTGGGGCTGCCTTAGTTTCTCTTTTGGGATTTTTAGTAGATTTTAATCTGCACACTTGGAGTCACTTGAACTCAAGGCACGGTGCTTTTTTTTTTTCTTTTATGTTAGGAAATGCTTCATTCCACCGTTCCTGTAGATTAATTATTTTTCAGAACCCATCTATTGCTTGTTTCACCTACTGGCCCCAATTTTCAGGTCAGGAAATAGAAGCGCAGCTCAGTCGGGGCGAGATGCTAACCACCATGGAGGAGCCGGGAGTCAGCAAAAGCACACACTCTCCGAGGCCCTGTCCTGACTTCCGCTCCCTCGTGAGGCGGCTCCTGGGTAATTGCTTTTAGAGTCAGAACCACTGAGTCACAAAAATACAAACTGCTATCGGCTCAACTATTTAATTGGCTTTGTCTATGTTGGAGGAAACTTATTTGAGCATAGACTGTACCAATCTGCCGTCATTTCGCATTGTTCTTCGCTATCCTCTAGTTAGAAACTGAATTCCTTAAGAAAGATGATGCTGTTTGTAAGGCTCTCAAGGAAAGGGTCCATGACCAGTGGTTCTCTGCCGCCCCTGTGCATATGGGCTTTGACGCATCGTAGTGCTAAAACTGAGCTACTTTCACTCAGAATGTATAAACCTCAGCTTCGGAGTTTCGGAGTATTTCTTGTGAGTAGTAGTCTATAAATTGCTTAAGCAGCCTCTTATCTGGTTAGGAATAGAGTAACAGAAAATAACTAAAGTAATGGGTTATGATCCCTTGATAAAGAGTTAATTTGCATCGTAAATTTTTTTTGTTTTTGTTTTTTCGAGACAGGGTTTCTCTGTGGCTTTGGAGCCTGTCCTGGAACTAGCTCTGTAGACCAGGCTGGTCTCGAACTCACAGAGATCCGCCTGCCTCTGCCTCCCAAGTGCTGGGATTAAAGGCGTGCGCTACCACCGCCCGGCTGCATCCTAAAATTTGCATTGCAAAAAATTGTCAGCTACCGGGCTGGGAGAGCGTGAAGTCCCATGTTGTGCCTTTGCTGTGTGGGCTGGGAGAGTGTGAAGTCCCATGTTGTGCCTTTGCTGTGTTCGTGTGGGGGTCGCCTGTCTCACTTCTCCGTTATGGAAGAAGTGTTCATTCCTGATCAAAGGAATAGTTTGGAGTAGAAAAAAAAAATAACTAAAGTCAAGAGAAAAGGAAAAGTCTATTGCTTCTCCTTACTTCCTCGCCCACACCTATGCCTGTTAGGTGTTTAAGAGACAGGGGTACAGAACACC